TACATTATTCAACTTTGGCTCTCCGCCTTTTACCTTCGATTGTCCGATAGAGTGTAGTTTTTGTAAGTTTGTTTCTCTTCGGAAACCGAATCTTCATGCGTGAAACTTTGTGTGTTGTTTCTAGTGATCACAACTGACATATTCATGTTGGAAAGAATGCAAGAATTTTCCGAAAGGATTCCTTCAAATCTCTTCACGAGCACAGAGAACTGCGTCTCCGGACGAGATACTCGGAGAACGAGTGGACGAGTGAGAATAGGGACAAGCGAAATAGAGACGAACGAACTGGCGGGGAAACTGGAGATTACAGCGGGCGAGACCGAATTTCACCATTCCTATGTCAGGATCTCTCGCAGTGGTGAAACATACGATCACGTGCTCGTTAGCCTACCACATTCTAGAAGGTTGCTGTGGAATGAGCTTTCTAAAAGCTCAAGGTGAAAATTTTCCTTTACCAATTGTTATCAACACGAAGATAACGCTCCCGAGTATAAATAGGTGCTCGAGCATTGTTCAACTCATTTTTACTAACAATGTCGGCCGACAACTTGATGTGCTTCGGATCTAATCCGAAGCTGCCACTACTAATCAAACAAGGAGCTTCACGACAGTGGATGTCCAACCTGAGCAACAAAAAGTTAAACTATAAGGTAAGCCTCACGCTCAGTGCCAAGGCACTATCGCAAGACAGACTCATTAGTTTCCAAGGTCCTATCGCTAGACAGGGACATCTTCTTGGGGCTAACAATAAGCTTAGAAGGGAGCAGGAATCCCGAGAAAGGGAGAATCGCTCACACTAGAGGCTCTTCCGCCAAGGCTTCACATCGTTTCGAACAGTAGGTGGCGCTCATGTCCTCAGGAGGAACATCCAAATCAGTGCATTCAAAACCGCTGGTAGGTGAAACTAGGACTAAGCCCAGGATTGGGAATAAACACCAGGGAGAACAATGGTTGCTCACATCCTCTCCCAGAATCCTTTCCCCTCTCCAAGGCTTAGTCCCGAGTTGTATAGTGGCCTACTCACTTCATTGTCCCCCCCCCCAAGGACATGAGCGCCCAAACGATAGGTGTTTTGCCTAGTTTTGAATCCACTGCCACCAGTGTCCCACTATCTTGCGATAGCGCCATTCAATATCTCCCTTGAATAATGATGGCCTAATTACAGCTCACATTTGAAAATCCGAATTCATGCTTCTCCATAAACTCTAGCCAGACCGAAGGCGAGATTCCAGAACAGGGGCAACTTCTGATCGATTTCAACAGAAGGGTAAATACGTGTGCCTTACTTATTTGTTGTTTGAATAATCAATGATTTTCGATTCCGATGATATGTACTTAGTGATCTTTCCTCCAGCCAGGAAAAGGTCAAGAAGACAAGCTGATCATCGAGTACAAAGATGGCAACCTCGCTGGGAGAACGGTTGTAAGAGTAATGCCAGTAGAATAAAGTTTTACAAAGTTAAGTTTTTTCTTTCTGGCACAGCAAATATCGACGCCCTGATTAATCAGAACGCAATGTGCTTCGTAGTACCTCAGAAGGAGGGAAGTGGAAGGGTGCGGGGGGGGGGGGGAATAGTCAGCTATTGGATGCCATAGCTACAGTAAATTTGGCACATTCTCAGAAGCCGATTTTGAAAGAATGCGAGACGAGTAATTCGTGAGCTAAAAGTTAAGAGTGCCGCCAGGCCGCGGGCTTGGGACGGGCCACTTAGCCCGAGGGTCGTGCCGTTGGAGAGTACGTTCAAATGAGTGAGCCGCTTACATCAATGTGGATTAGCTTTTGGAAGAGGAGGGGATCTGGGGAAGGATCTGCGTAATGTTTGAAGGTCCCCCCAAGGACATGAGCGCCATCCCCCGTCTCATCCTCCTTTTCCTGTGATTAGCGGTCCACCTTGCAACGAAGTTCTCAAACTATTGCAGCACTCAGGTGGCAGCTGTCGAACGTGCCCTCGACGAGAAAGCGCTAGCAAGTTACAAGATGATGTTCATCCTTTTTCATCAATGGCCAAATAAGTCACCAGCTCACCACGATTCAGCAGGAGATTCTCTATTGTAAGCTAGCGTGTCTAAAAGAAGGAGCTCTTTAGTTGCTTTACCTTGTGGCAATCAATCACTGCGTTTTATCCCAATGACATTAAGGAGCACGGGTAACACAGATATCGTCGCTTCTGTGCAAAAAAAAGTATTAGCAGGAAAAGACAGGCATCAGAGAGCCCGGGCACAAATGAGTAGCCCTGTACATGGTAGATATGTACATCCATACCCGTGAGTGAGTAAGAAATTAGTCGAATTATCTATGCGTACCAAAATTCGCAGAGTGCGGTTTCATCGTTCTGCCCTCCGCCACGTCCGTGAAACATATTCAGCCGAGTCCGAGGCAGCAGCTGATTCGCCCACGGGTTGCAACATTTGGCTTAATCGTTATGAAAGACACCTCGTGTGCTCTACACTGCATGAATCGAATGAAAAGTTGCAAATAAAACGAGCCTCAACGGTATCCGATCTTAACAAATCTAAATTTACGAAGTTACGCCTCTAGCCACTGCGCCAACTCTTCGACGAAATGTATTCCGGAAAGTGTGGGCAATAAGTAGTGATCGCTACTCTCTACCTCCTTCAAGCACGGTTTGTTAATAGATCCCCTCCACCAAGTTTTTTTTTATCTCATCGAGGTTTTTGTTCCGCGTGTTGTGGCCACTTCGATTATTGTAAACATAGGCATGAAATAAATCATATGAGTCATCCCCAACAAACACTGAAGACATTGGAGAGCGCATGTTCGAACCTCATTCCCGAAATGGTGTCATCCATTCCTAAAAATGAGGTGTCACGCAAGACCCAAATATTCATTCAGCCCTCGAGCCGAACTGAAGGGAATATCACTTAATTGTGCGCCACTATCACCTTTCAGAGTAAGATTCCAGATTACAATTTATGAGGACTTAATTCCCCTAAAATCATGAAATTAGAGATTGAGACGTGGACGCAAAGAAAGGAAATAAAAGGAATACATAAGGTGGATGAATACGAGGAATAAATCACTTATATGGCCCAGTAAAGGCTCTTAGGTAGGTCTAAGGGTAAGCCGGACACTCGCTGAGAAGGTAGACTCTGAAACTAATGGCAGGACGAATGCTCCGCTTTACAGTTGAAATGGACGGGTCAGGGAATGGATCGTGGTGGGAAAATGATGTCCTCTGTGATTGAATTTCCTGGCCTCGCTCCTTCGCTCATGACGGGCACTCCACTTGAGATCGTTGAAAGCTCCGAATCAGCATGAGCGAAGCCTATTCTTGAAGCTTACGGTGCTTTCTCTGTTTGATTGTTTGTATAACAGCGGCCCATGGGGTACATCTAACATCATATTCAGCACAGAGCGTCCATCTAGCTATAATTCGTTGTATATATTACCAGATTAGTCCCCCGTCAACCGCCGGGACCTTCCTTTCCTGCGCAAGCTTTCTATCCTCCGCTATGGTCCCTTCCTCCTGTGACACCAACACCTCCTGGAAGTGACGCGTATGCAACACAATGGTGTTTCATACAGTAGAAGGGACACAATCATGATATGACGGTAGATTTTTCGCTTCCCTTCCTCATCCTCCCTTCCTCTCTCCACTGCCCTCCAGCTGCCACTGCAGCACCATGTGGAATGAACGGAAGTGTGCTAAGCAGGTGTTTATATAGCCCTAAGAGTGTTATCACAACTATCCTGCTACAAAACATTGATATCTCAAATCCTGTAAGCTACCCGATTTGTTAGCGGTTTGTTTATCCCATGAGCTTCCTTCTCACTCACTTCATTTTGCGGACGGACACACATACATACATACACACACACACACACATACAGATACACAAACCGACACACAAAGTTAGCGCTTTATAAAATAGAAGGATTTTTTTGCAGTTGTCGCTTGTCTGTTTGACGTTTTCTCGCCATCGGCATTTGGATTGAACATGCACCTCTAGACGGCTGTATCCGGAGAGGAAAAGCGGTGTTTAAAAAAGCATCTTACTCCGATCGTATGAGTGGAGATTTAGCAGTACGTCTCACATTCGTGAGTCCTTCTCGCTGCCCTTCTGAAAGGTGGAGTTGAATTTCCTACAGTACGAATGTGCTTTTTGTGATCACTCATGATCGCAAAAGCTCATATGGATCTTAACAGAACATGCACATGGACGTTTTTTCCTCGAGCTGCTTTTTCATGGAATTCCTGTGTGCATAACGGGTTCTTCACTTGAAGTTAGCACTTCATCACCCAGCACTTCAACTACATTAACAGCTGTCCTTCACGAATAGTCGGTCATCACTCGTCATTGATTTTTGTGCCGTCCGCTCGTTTTCAAGAACCAATTCACTTCCGGCTTCGTCTAGACCTTCCTACTCGACGGTGTTCTAATGGCACGTGCTGCTGACTATCATCCCATCTCCGTTTGGATGCTTTCACTGTGGTACGTCATCTAGTAATTGTTGCATTCTTTAGATATGTCTAGCTACCCATACTTAGGTAGATATGTACTTACATAGGTACCAATATTTAGCGCCATACCTTGCAGAAAGCGCTGTATAACTGCAAGTTTGCCATTGCTTTCAAAGGCAGTGATAACGATGGCTGGGGAGCGGTTCAATTTTGAGGACGTCCTCGAACAGCATTTGTGGGACATTAAGAGGTGGTCCCAAACACGCCCCCTCCCCCCGCTGAGGGCTCTGGTCCACAAATGGCATCCACTTATGTCCTTAAATTCGCACTGCAATCCAGCCATAGTGATCACTGCCTTCAAGGTAGATCCCCTGGGTTCCGTATCGATGGTTTTTCGAATAATAGAGGTTCTCGTTGCTGCAGGACATGTAGAGATATGGAGATGGAGTGTGCGATGAGGAGAGGTGTAGTGCAGTGGATAGAGGCGCCTAGTTGCATGTGCACAGTTACCATGATCGAGTTCAGCTTATGCACCTTGATAAAGTCACAAAATCACATCTCATTTACAATATTTACAAGGTTAGGCCGGCTTTTCGCGTTCAGCCAAAGATTTTCGCATCGTTTATTTGACGGGGCGCAGCAATATTGGCCGCATGGCGACGTCATAGGGAAGCCGATAAGCTCTCAGCGGCCGGGGAACCCCTCTCTCTCCTCCCACCTCGTCGCACTTGCCTACTCGGCGCCATTTGTATAGATTTCGCTCTCCGCTTGCCTCCGTTACGCTGCGAGCGGTGCAAACTCCCAGTCGCAGCCATCTGCTGCTTTTTTAGTTGTTGTGAACGGGCGGTCTTTTCGGATGTATATTAGATAATGTGACTTTCAAGGAGTTATAGCTCCATTCGTTCAATTCGCTGAATGATTGACTTTTACCAACTCGTTTCTTTTTTCTGACGTAAGGGAGACATCTTCTTTTTCCCCTCAAGTATTGTAACCTTATCTGGTTATAGAGACGGTACTCAAACTCAGAAGAATGCCTGGCTAAGTTTGCTAACCCACTATGATCAAAGAAAGCCGAGAGGCTTACTGCTTCTAGCTGCTATAACTATCCATAATTGGGCTGTCGGCGAACCCTCGGGATCGCACAGCTAAAGGCAGCGGGGAACACTGGCGAAAATGGAGGGTACAAAATGGTCTTCTGGTGTCTCCTGACCATACTTAGGAAGGTTTCCAGGTCCTCCATCTTCTATCCATAAGTTATTTCAATGGAACATGCATAGTGACATAGGGCGGTTGTACCTGTCGTGCTTCTAATGTAAGGCCTATGCGATGGGTCCTGCTACTTTCACAAGGGTTTGGAGTAGAATCTAGCGCTTTTGGCTGTTTATATGGGATGTATTGATTCCTTGCAGCCGTACAAATAATAACAATAAACAATCACATCAGTCTGTTTTATGGTCGGGGCCGTTCGCTCTCTCAAAACAATTGCGTGACGAAAATGTCAATTTCGCTGACGTCAGTCTTTTCCAGTAGCCTGACCGAGTTCTTTGATCAGACTTATGGTCACTACTTTACTTCCGGTTGGTGTAATCCATTTTGCCCTACTGATTTTCACAGGAAAACCTGGGAATCCTCGGGGAGGACGGTCATGCACTCGGGAAAGTGGACTTAGGAGAACTTGAAGAACGCTTCCGATCAAATTCCAAAACGCTATGGGCGCAAGGTTCTTCCATAGCCACATACCAGACCTCGTGATATCATCAATCAGCTATCAGCAGAGATGCTTACGTATGCGCGTCTACCCCAGATTAATTTAGTGCTGATACCGGTTTTCACCCGGTTTCGCTTATCCAAAGACCGCCTTTGCGGATATGATCTAGACTATTGTACACTTTTGTAGGCTCAAGTTCTCGTCCGGGAAAACTTTTTTTTCATTTGAGACGAAACTGTTCAAAGTCGCTCAGCTCTGACTCATCCGTGCCACGTGGTTTTCACGGGCTTAGCAAATTGTCTTCTACTCTTAGGATTGTTCAAGAACACATTTCTGCTTCAAAAGCCCTCACCACTTCCCCCTTATCTCAGCAAATGACTCGGGGCACTTGAGCCAGAAGTTGGCCTTGACTATTCTGAGACGGCGCAATGTGGCTCGGGGGGGGCACCTCGCAACATCGCGTCAAAATCACGGAAACGCTCCGTTTTAGGACTAAGCTTTTGAAGAGGAGAGGAACTCCGGTGTACGTATTCTCCGGAGTTCGTCCCTGCTGTTTAGGCTTAGTCCTAGATGACTTTTCTCAGAGTGCCCCCCCCGAGCCACATTTCGCCTTCTGAGACCAGGGCCTGAGAGCCATGGTAGGGTTCCGGTTTTCCAACACAGTAGGGGCGTGGAGCCGGGACCAAAACGGTAAATGTATAAGTTGTGTGTTGTGTTGTTAATGTTCAGCGTTTAATGTTTGTTTTTGTTGTCAACAACAACAACCAGAGCGACCTAATTTTGGCCCAATAGAGACCAATAGAGCCCAATGGCATCCAGCAAGGCCACATCACACGTAAGCATCTCATCGAACCTTTCGCTCTGTGAATGGTGTGACAATTATCTGTGTCGTCGACACACGGCATGTTGTGCGATACAAAAGGC